AATGTCGGATAAATAACTGCTTACTGTTTCTGAAGCCACAATCTGCAAATTGTGCAGCAAAAATAAACTTTACCAGCCTCATCGATTACAGCCCTCAATACACCCTGGCAGAAGGATAAACATCCTGGCCTCGCATCAAAAGTAAATATTTAATCATCGCTATTTAACAGTTAGGATATTATTAGCATCTGGCAAGAGAAAATATTCCGATCATTCAACATTAGAAACATGCCCCTATCGGATCCCGCCCCGTTTGCAAACCAATTTAGATAAACACAAACGTTTAATATCTAAACATTAAGCCATCGTGATTTCAAAGTAAACGACGACATGGGTACAATGTGTGAAGCCCATTTCTGGTGTCCCCCGCCGTGATATTGCTGGAATATTGCTAAAAGCGCCGTAAAACCAAACTCACTCACTCACTCAAAGTAAACGAAGTCATCGTGAAAAACGATGAGTGCGTTCTTTTTCGTCGACCAACGTATATTCGGCCTTTCATGAGCGACAACGGGATAATATACAGTGGCGCCGTGTTGGTGAAGGCGAACACGATTTGTTGCCAGTTGTTGTTTTTTCGATGAGAAAATACATCGTAGAGCTTGTAACGTATCATGTACATTAAGCTTTAACGATTCCTGTAATTACATTCTGAAAGTTTACTGCTGTGGGTGTTCTTGCATGCTAATTATAACCAAATGAGGAGCGTGTCACGTATCTGTCTATATGACGGCAGTAATGTAAATACATCTTCTCCACAATAGTTTCCACGGATACCTTCCATATAATACCTGTTAATCATTCGTTTCTAACCATTGCTGAGGAACTGACGGCGTCGTATTACTGGTCTCTGACAAGCCTCAGAGCCCATTTACAATCACATAGTGATGTGAATAATTGCTGTTGAAACCTTGATGTTACGCGTAGGGGCAGTATGCATAAGAGTCGTATATTGCATATGTCAGGGACATTGATGGGGATTAATTATGGCTTCAGGGAATACCCGTTTGTTCCTGCAAGTGCGTGATCGGTAATTTGTGTTGCATGTCGTGCTGAAACAATCAAAGGACAAGAATCCAACGCCACTGAAATCAACTATGCACATCACGAAGCGTCAACAACATGTGAACAGTATGAACACAAGATGTCTTCAATCATCAACCATTATATAAAACAAAATGGCCGAGTCGGATGACAGAATGTCCTCACGTCTTATTTTGACATTGCCTTACCAGGACTACACTGACGGACAAAAGAAACTTCCCACTTATTTTGATTTCCAGTAAAAGAAAATCAAAGACAAAACCAGTGTATTAGAGTATTTAACGTTTCATAATATCACATTATATAAACAGTAAACAAAACAAACAATGAACCTCTATGAAATGAGGTTTGCACACAGTTGGAGTCCAAAAATAACAGGTTTATTGTAGAGCTCCAAGTGTTCTTTTGGGGATTTTCCAGTGCCTAATATCGCGTGTGTCCTCCTTGTGCGTCCATGCATGCTAATACCTGTCGTCGTACTGATGTCGCCAGTCTCCTGATGACGTCATGAGGGATTCTGCGCCATTACTCAGAAAGAACTCGTTCCAGCTGCTTTCTGTTGGCTAGTGGGAGTTGACGGTTTCTAAGTTGTCTGTCAAAGTGGTCCCAGAAATTGTTCATATGGTTTAATGCGAAAAACATGCCGGCCATGGTTGAACATGAACATTGTGGTTGGCTAGGAAATCCTGAGCAAGTCGAGCAGTATATGGCATGGCACTGTCTTGCTGCAGAATGGTTCCCTGTGGCTGTGCACCGGTTGAAGAACCTCGTCTCGATACCCTTGTGCATTTAGGTAACCATTTATGATCACTAGGCGCGTTTTCTGATCACCGAAAATTGATCAGATCAATTATGTCAACCTGATTACAGTTTAAAATGTTTGATATTTGCAAATGGGCCTCATCATGCCCGGGGGATCTCAATAAACCTCGGAATAAGGAAATCCTTTAAAAAATCAACTCTTAATATCCGACATTAGGGTTGAATTAATGAGATTCGACATGATCATTGTCTAATTATTTACAACGCAATTTCACATAAATGCGACAAAACCCTTCCCATATTCATAAGAAATCTGCTAAAGAAGGCTGCTAAAGGCAGAGTCGATAGTAGTATTCCGACTTCATCATGGGCATGTGTCTTTGAATCGCTATCAAATAGTGATGATACCAGGTGTTCGCGAAAAGGTGATCGCATCCTGACCCACCAGTGTTGCCCGTCACATACACATGCAAAGGCAAATCAGTTGTCCACCTAAAAATATATATGGTACAAGTCAAAATAGGGAATTGCATCAAATATAATTTTTGTCATTGATGCGTCAAATTTGGAAATGTCTTTCACATGGTTACCATAAAACTGTTTGAATGCTTCACTGGGGCCTTGAATGTTGTAACCTTGATCAAGCAGCTTCTGAGCAAGTCGTATGACCCTCTTTGAAATCTTGGTTGAGCATGCTGTACCTCAAAATTTGTGAAATGACCAAAGACCAAAGGCTGAACTGCTGGAATATTGCTCGACATAAAGGTAATATTGACTAATGGAAAGTTGAAGTGATCCCTTTTATCACTCTTGTTGGGAGTGTTTTGTCACTTTGAATGTTTATGCTTATATGTAAACATGAACAGACGAGGCGGTCTCACTGGTGTCCTTTATTTCTAGTTTTGGTGGGTAAATAAATAGAAGGGAATTAGCTATTTAATGGTTATTGAACGAGATCGGATCATCGAAAAGTCTTGAATGTCAAACCCCAGTAGAATGTTTTATTGGGCAGCAATGCTTTGCGGAGAGTCATCTATGCTATACATATTCTATAAAGGTGTATTCTCTGGTATAACTTTAATGATAAAGATACAACCATAATACCCCTTTCATATTTTTCAAATTTTGAGTGTCTGGAGTACGGTATTAACTTCACAACGACATTAAAGTGTCGTATTGAGTTTGATATCATCTAGGCTGCATGTGGCTGCACGTTGCTGTATGTTCATCTGTATATGATATGCTACAGATGAGTCAATCCGTTATAATTATTTTCAACACAAAAGAGGTTAAAAAGTAAATATGCCCTGGCCATAACTGTTCAACTATAGTCATATGAAACATATTGGACGTTCTTATATGTTGCATAAACACACTGTACGTGTTAACGTTGTATACTTTTCGACCGCCAGACTGGAAGTTCGAGTTGAAATTTAATATCAGTAGGTGTGCGACTGTGATGTGTATTCTGGCAGTAAATGGTGTAAGGCGTGATGGTATGATTGTTATTCGGATCCTTTCGAACACTGAGTCAGATATACTCAGGAAACGGCTGCTCTGAAATATCACCCGAGAAAGTGTCCCAAAACATCCTTACTCTTTCACGCGAAGAACCGAATGATCCAGTATCTGACGTCTACTATCAAGTGAAGAATGACTTGAGAGCTTTCCAGGGACAACAACGTTTTATTATTTGTAATAATGGTTTCGGGGCCACGTCTTGAAAGGAGAAGAAGTAGTCGCGCTGAATGCACATCTTGACTTGAGAGCATGTGTCTCACATCTGTCACTGTTTGAATAATAATTATTATTATCCATGCTTAATTAATAGGAGGATGCTCACTGGGATATGAAAACACTATTTAATCTCAACCCTGTACTGTGACCGATCTCTTATCCCTCGGCGGTAACAATAAAACTGTACATAATCCCTATAATCTAGAAATTGTATTAGGTGTGCATGGAAGCTCTGGCCGCTTTCTTCCATCATGTGAAATATATTACATGCACGATGAATACGTTTCATATTAATAGTTCCTTTAGCTTGGAAGACACAGAACGAGGACCCCGAGTCATTATGAATCCCTGCAGGATCCAACGATTAATTTCCCCATTGATCTTCCTTTGTTTTGACTTCCCTACGGCAAGACCCCAGTTCCGACATGTTAACGATGAGCGATTACACTTCAGTTTCATGTACCTCATATTTACAACAAGTCATGTCCCCCTCTCTAATGTCAACGTATTTTATTCTAAAAGCGGTATACAACCTTACTCACTCATTCCATTTTTCTTTCTACGACAAGTAGCCTTCTGTTACAGTGTAGAACTTGTTATTTAGGATAAAAACATACGATGTTTTCAATGTAGAGAAAGGTTGCCTGTAGATTTAACAGCTATCAATTGAATTTGGAACCGAACGAGCAGCGTCAGGTTTCAAATGTTAAATTTCATAACATGTATAACAGGCAGCCTTTTGTGTTCCGTGTGTGATATTGTACAACAAGTAATGATAAGGTGTCCATGTTTTACAGGTAGCTTGATGTGTTCCGTGTGTGACAGTGTACAACTGGTTACGACAAGGTGTCCATGTGTAACAGGTAGCCTGTTGTGTTCCGTGTGTGAAAGTGTGCTACTGGTTATGACAAGGTGCCCATGTTTTACAGGTAGCCTGTTGTGTTCCGTGTGTGAAAGTGTGCAACTGGTTATGACAAGGTGTCCATGTGTTACAGGTAGCCTGTTATGTTCCGTGTGTTACAGTGTAATACTGGTTATGACAAGGTGTCCATGTGTTACAGGTAGCCTGTTATGTTCCGTGTGTGACAGTGTACTACTGGTTATGACAAGGTGTCCATGTGTTACAGGTAGCCTGTTATGTTCCGTGTGTGACAGTGTACTACTGGTTATGACTAGGTGTCCATGTGTTACAGGTAGCCTGTTATGTTCCGTGTGTGACAGTGTACTACTGGTTATGATAAGGTGTCCATGTGTTACAGGTAGCCTGTTATGTTCCGTGTGTGACAGTGTACTACTGGTTATGACTAGGTGTCCATTTGTTACAGGTAGCCTGTTATGTTCCGTGTGTGACAGTGTACTACTGGTTATGACAAGGTGCCCATGTTTTACAGGTAGCCTGTTATATTCCGTGTGTGACAGTGTGCAACTGGTTATGACAAGGTGTCCATGTGTTACAGGTAGCCTGTTGTGTTCCGTGTGTGACAGCGTTACGAAGCCCGACTGCGAGGTGAACCCCCCAGCAGCGACGTTGTGTTGGCAGTCAGGACAAGGAGTGAAACAAAGCTGCACTACAATCAGGGAATACAAGATTGATACAGGTAGGCAACTCATAAACATACTCAGCAACAAACGTCACGGTGGTACATAATGGTCAACATGTTCATATGAACACCGCCTCCATGGTCAAGTGGTAGAGCGTCCGCCCGGAGAGCGGAAGGTCGGAGTTCGATCCCCGGCCGCGTCATACCAAAAGACCTGAAAAGATTGAACTCGTTGTTACCCTGTCTGACGCTCGGCATTAAGAGCTAAAACAAGGACTGGTCGGTTTGAACTCAGTTTACTGTGTCTGAATGGGGTATTCATGTTAAACCGCGGCATGGCATCTCAAGGGGCTAGCACCGTAAAATCGCAATTAGTCCGGACCAGTACAAGCAGACACAAACACGCGCATGTACGTCGCCATATAAGTGCAATAATCTTTGACGCGACGTTAAACCCCCTTTCACCTCACCACATATGAAATCGAACGCAGACGAAATATCCTGGCATGGACGTGGAATATTGGTAGGCAAACAATATAAGCCTGGTTAATGTCTTTCCGTATGGAAATGTAGCGGCCATAAAATTTCTGAGTCCAGTGATGGGATTCGAACCACGGACCTTCTGATCCGAGGTCAGTGCCTTGTCCACATGACCAAAGAGGTTAACCCCGTCAGCAAGCTGACAAGGTAAGGATGTCATCCGTGGGATGACTCCACGCCCTGCTACAGAAACAGTCCAGCTGTACAGAATTCTAAATTATTCTAAATTTCACTGTTTGCTTTTTACATTTGCATTTGTGTTTGACAAATTGTCCCGGACCCTTGAAGAATGAGATGTAACCATATTTATGGTCATCAGGTTTATTGACACAAGCCCCCTGGAAATAAGGAACGATTTTTTTTTCCTTCAAGAGTTTATTGTGTGGGATAGTGGTGTACAAGTTTAACAAAATTGAACTTGGTGTCTAATCGGTATTATGGTTACTCATTAATGGTTAAGAGACCGAGGTTAACCATTTTAACGTTTAGACACCAGGGCCCTATTTAAACCAACATTCAAAGGACCATACCACCTAAAGCGTTAAACAACATTGTTTTGATTACCATATTTTAAAAGTTATTTAAGAGTTCAACTGTGAGAACACTGTGTGAGTCGCCCTTGCGTGGTATATATGAAATGTGCTCCCTGTGCCTTGCGCACGTGCCTCTCGTTCTGTGGCGGCTAGGGATATTACATGAAATCTTGACACAAGTATTTGGTCGCACATTTGCTAAATCCAGCAATATATATTTACATCGATTTTTATATAGCTTTGGAATCCAATGTAAAAGATGAATAGACATTTTCAGGGTTTTGAGTCAAGTCAAAAGTTGACAGCACTGATGCGTGGTTTTGGCAGATATTCCACAGTTAACATATTCACCCCTTACGGGGCATTATTTGATTTTTATAAACGCGGTATTGGACGTAAATGAACGATGGCCTATCTTTGTGATATTGAAGGGGAAATGTCGACAAGAAGCAGGTGTCCCCAAGTTTTGAACCCTTTCGTCGACATATTTTCTTGAGCATCTGGATCTAAAAAAATATACAGTTGAGCCACAAACATTACAATGACTTGTTATTATATTCAGTCACATTTAGCGTTCCTATTTTTGTCCTTTGTTCTTGCAAACGAAATGCCAGAACACGACTTGTATTACACATTACATCGCCTGAGTAAACATTTATTCGAATTAAATTGGAACGGTCATACCAAGGAGATGATTATCTTTCTGTGGACGAGTGTACGAGATCCACGTGAACGCACACGTGCATGCATATTTATATGAAATGGGTGGAATGTGTCATTTGGCTGTATTTGGCTTCAGGTGTCCCTTATGCTGTCAACCACTGGTTAACCGGGCCCGATTTTGTTTCATAAAACTATGTTTCAGAAAATGCTGATAAAAGAAACATGTGGCCTTAAGATGACACACATAAAAATGTTCACTGTACATTTGGATTTCCTCAACGTGTTTGACTCCTTTCCCTCTGGTCAAAGCTTTCGCTCGTCGCAAGGGTCCGATTCCCCATATGGGTACAATGTGTGAAGCACACTTCTGGTGTTCCCCGCTTTCATATTGCTGGAATATTGCTACAACCATACTCTCACTCTCAAGCAGTGTCAGAAGAACTTTTGTCTCTAACCAAAACAAACCCGCTCAGACGCCCACACAACACATCCAGTTCTTTCGGCTGATGTGACAGACGTTCATATATTCATATTTGTCAACAATGCCCATATTTGGGCATATATCAATATTCATGCGCATTCAGATTTTGCAACCGGTTTCAGTTTGGTCTGTTAACGAACGAAGGTTGTTTTGTATTTGCACTTCAACCGCCGTCTTATAGCTGTAATATTGCTGAGTGCGGCGCTAAACAACAAACAGTGAGCACAGCGTATCCTACCAGTTAGTGTATTACTCCTCTTGCACATATCAATCAGTATCAGTGACACTGCAGAAAGAGGCCAGACGTGTAAGTGAGTTAGCATGTAGACGTTGAATGATGGAGTGTTCATTAAGAAATAGAGCGATAAACGTGATGTCAAACCCGATCGGGAATCTAGATTATACGTATTGACTGTAACTAATGATACGACTGAGTCGTTTGAGTCAAATAATCGCTCGATATCATGTAAAATGGCGGGCCAGACTTGGGTCAATTGGCAGTCTAAAAAAAAAGTGGATTCAAGACCCTCTAATACAACTTTGTTTATCTGCTAGCTCAAATTATATTATATGTGTATTAATTTAGCAGATACACTGTTTCAGTTTAACAGAAGGCACTAATCACATCGTCTAGAAATGGGCACCAGACCAGGAAGCGTAACCTCCCTTTAAGCAACGTAAACTAATGTTGCAAATAACCTTTTAAGTGTAAAACATTAACACCAGAGAATTACCAGTCTCGATTATCTACCGACACAGATTCCATTGGGTGTAAATGGCAAAAAAAGCGGTGAAAAGTTATATGAATGGATCACTGAAAATCATGATGACACCAGGTATTTGCCATGCAACGGAGAGCTGTAATTAACCAGACAATCAATGATGGACCAGAATATCAAGTGACACATTAGCGCATGATTTTGTTTAAACTATGAAATTAAGACATAAACGACGAGTGGCTGTTGTTTATCGAACAACAAAACACTGCAAGGAGAATAAACCTTGAGGGCGCAGGTCCTATTTACGACGTCACCAAGTTGCGGACGCATGTTCGAATCTCCAGAAATGACGTCATGATAGAACAGTACGGTTTTATCGTGAAATAAACAACGCTTAGTTCTTCATTATTCTTGGCGATTTATCCGGTGGTAAACGTATAGTTAGACATAAATGAGTGCGTATATAGTTGCATTTGGATTGTATGTATTTATTATATGTCCATGGTCATGTCAAGTTCGACAAGGTTTCTTGATGCTGCATACACGTGAAGATCCGGGGTAGAATAGGTCTTCAGCAACCCATGCCTGCCGTAAAAGGCGACTATGCTTGTCGTAGAAGACGACTAACGGGATCGGATGGTCAGGCTCGCTGGCTTGGTTGATGCATGTCATCGATCCGAATTGCGTAGATCGATGCTCATGACGTCAATCACTGGATTGTCTGGTCCAGAATCGATTATTTACAGACCGCCGTCATATAGCTTGAATATTGCTGAGTGCGGCGTTAAACAACAAACAAACAAAACTTGCTGTTGTAAAATATCTCAAGTTTTCTGTAATTACCTACATTCTAAACTACTGCCTGTATAACCAGGTGCTATATGGTGACTCCATGTTTTGTGCTGGGTAAACAATGTGTTATTGTCTATGTTGCAGAAATCCTGCTGATGTTCCGTCGGGATTGTTCCACGATGGACGAAGGCACGTGTTACAACCCTCAGGGTCAAAACAAAACTCTGTGTATTGACGTATGCTTCACCGATAACTGCAATGCCGCTGCCTCATCAGTTTTACCGTCCTACAAGTCGCTGCTGCCTCTGATCACGGCGCTGCTGCTGCTGCTTCCATGCCTTTAATGATTCATACACCTACACATGTTATGTTTCATGGGGCGAACCCTCGTATGTCCAGACACCTCATTGACGCTGCGAACTAAATTATCTATATTTTAAATTCATCGTTTCCATAACCAAAGTTTTGTTAAATGGGTAATTATGAGTGAGGATGTGATGTACTGTCACCTAAACACATCTGGACGGTCAATGAAATCGTCCGAAATTATCCTTTGGAGCTAGTAATGTCGCTTGGCACGGGTCGCCCGGTCGTCTAAGGCGCCGCGATTCGCTGTGCAGAGCACCTATGATTGTGGGTTCGAATCCCGGTTCGCCCCGTTTATGTTTCTGGGTTTGTCAGCACCATGCCCGTGCTCTTGGGTTTCACTGAATTAGTAAACGTCTGAGACCTGCATCACTTCGGTCTTTCCTCCCACATTAAGCTGACACGCCGCGATATAACTGTAATACTGTTAAAAGCGGCGTTAAACCCAACTCAATCACTTTACATAAAGGATTTCCTCACGGCACTGGTCCTGAAGACGGGATTTCCGGGGTAATGCGTTCCGGATTAATAAAGTTTCGCTGTAATACTGGAATCTAAAGTGTTTTGGAACATAGTATGACAATTCGAGTATCTCTCACTCAAAAACCCCAAACCCTGATGTGTCATGTTCTATGTTCATTATTCAATGTCTGATTGCTACCTCTCCTGATAACGTGGTGATGGTCTGAAGACTGAAATCTGAACTATCAGTTTAACTCAAATGTAGATTGGGTCATGAGTGGCCCAGGGGTCTGTTGGCGTTACGTCCCTTAAGTATGCCAAGATCCGTTGGTCGTATTTTCGGATCCCAGATTCACCTCCATGATGACGATGGTCTGTCAGCACTGTGGGTGCTTGTGGGTTTCACAACAGTGGTAAGGATCCCCGACCTGCCTCCCTTCTAGCTCTCCTCCCACATCAAGCTGACACACCATCATATAACTGAAATACTGTTCAATGCGGCGTTAAATCTACTTGCAACTCACTCATTCAGTTGATTAGTGCGTTTCTGGATAAGTTTGGCCCGGGAAATGCGACACATCACCTGAACCAGACAGGTGACAATCGGAGTACATGGGGTACTCATGGGGTAACAAGAACTTCCAGGAGTGAGCAGTATATAACCTTTTCCGCGGACTTTTTCAAACCTGTTTTGTGCCAAGCTAATGTCAGTGCTTCCGTACCGCGACGTTATCATTGGTTTTGAAACTACAGTAAACTACGTTTATAACGAACACGCTTATAACGAACTGACGGATATAACGAACCGTTTTTGGTCCCGTCTATTTGCTGTATATATGTTGTAAATGTGCTTATAATGAACTACGGTTATAACGAACTAAATTTAGTGGTCCCTTTGAGTTCGTTATAACCGTAGTTTACTGTAGGTAGATCAACTGGGTCGGGTGTAGCTCTATGCCTGTACACGGCGTATGAATGTAACACATTCCGCATCAAATAATTCAGTGTTAGGCGAGCGTGATAGGTATCCCATTCATATGCTATAACCAGGTGTGTAACATACTAGTTGTATATACTGAAAATGACCGATTATTGTTTGCCGAAAAGTATTATGTGTTAATGACTAAAAGCGATAAAGCCCTTTCCATCAGCATAAGAAAGCTCTGCTAAAAGCAACTGAAATTGTCTTTGTAAATAAGTTTGGCGACGCATTACAAATGTGTGTCAACCAAAATGTATTTTTTAATGTATTCCAACAAAGCTTGAAAGAAACTTTTCTGCAGATTCAAGTCCAAAATTGCCATATTATGCCCTATCCAAAACAATTTTTTTTGCGAAATTATTTGACATTTATGCTTGTAAATTAAGATTATCTTATTTCGATTAAGCTCTCCTAAGTTAGATTTCGAGTGTGGCCCATATCACAACGTATCAAATTACCAATGGAAGTTTAGAAAATGGATAAGTTGATATTTAAACTGCGTAGAAACCGAGTTTCACGTTTTGGGGGTTTATCTCGCTTATGATAATTTGAGGCAATTATACCTAAAACCAAAATGCTATCAATATCCCAACATCCATAAATTCCACATCCCAGATCCACAAATCATCATTAATGTAGGAAAATATTGATTTTGTGTTTTGCACATGAAGTAAGAACGCAATTAGCATAATTGACATTTAAACCTGTGCTCAAACCCTCTGTACACAAAGGCCTGTGCCTAAACGTATTTAAACTAAAATTGATCCAGTAGCGTTTTAAGCCGCTTTCAGCAATGTTCCAGTAGAATCAAGCTGAGAAACTCCATTTATGTATAGTTCACACATTGTACCTTGTGTGGAATCGAACCAGTTTCGACGCTTTAACCACTATGCTACCTCCGCCGCCCCTATTAGTCAAAGAATGTTGAACAGGAATAGGCATATGATATTCATACTTGCAATGTGTATTATACATCCGACCACATCATATATACAGCCTTAAGTGTCATGATGCGTCTGTTTCTCAGATGCTAATGACATGGAAACACATTCGGTATCTTCGGTTTTCATTGTCCAATTCTGGAAATTATCCTTCAGTAATTGTAGCGGCCACCAGCCTGCCATGCATATATACTGTTAAATGTTGGAAGTTCAGACTCCAATGTCAGATATATGTAGCAGAACGCGCCATGCCATTGTCCAATCCCAACGTCCAGTGCTGATTCCCCGACATGAAGCATCCCCCGGTGTGTTGACATCAGTATAGATAATTAACCAGGAGGAGTTCAAGCTTAAGTTGCGTCTTGACGGGCAAACCCTTGGGTGCAGCGCTAACGAGTTCTCGCGTGGCCTTCGTGTATATTTAAGTTGTGTGTCGGTTACTGCCACTGGCTGAAGTGTTTCTGTCTAAATTAGAAGAATAGCGACTTCAGCCCACATGTCTACCGGGTGTTATAAATCAGAGAAGCTTGTTGTATAGACAACGACGATAATACCAACACACTTCATATCATATTGGCCATGCTGTGGGTGTTGTGTCAGGTTCAATGTGGATTTCTCAATATGTCACGTCAACGCTAGAGAATAATCGGTCTCTATTATCTTCCGAAACATATTTCTTTTGGCGTAAAAGAAAAAAAGGGGTGATAATTATATAAATGGATCACTGACACAAGGTGTTCGCCAAAGAATGATTACTCATGTCTCAGTGTTGGGAAATGGTTTGATCAAAACAGATGGCCCCTGTGATCTCGAAATTGTTTTGATCAACTTAATTTTTGCATCTTTCGAGATTGGTTTGAATCAAAATAAATGGTAAAAAATTATCTCAAGATTAATTACATAAAAAAATATAGTTCCGCTATCTTGACATTGGGTTGATCAAACTGAATACGTACTTTGATAAAAATGCTCGTTTTGATACAAAAAAAGTAATTTCGCGTTTAGGGTGTATCACACTTTGATACTTATATGTTTGCAATTTAGCATTCAATCGGTTTGTAACAGAAACAACAAAAACAGATGGTCTGCATATATATATCGATGTTGTGTTTCGATTGACAAATTCCTTATATACATTGATGATTGTTCTGGAAACTATTCGTTGTCCAGCTCTCAGCTGGTATCTCTGTGGAAGTGTTCGGCAGCTATGCTATTATCGTGTTTTGTATCACTGTCGCGTGTGTTCTAACAATTCCACTCTACTGTTGTCAGGTAAATGTTGACCAGGCAAAACAAACTGGCAATTTGTTCGTGGAATATTTGTTTTCCCCAAGAGATAACGGAAAATGATTTATTATCAATGGTTTAAGGGCTGATATGTTCTCTTTGATATTGGGATGTAATGTGAAGATATTGAAGAAACTAGAACTAATTTGTTTTTGACGTAAACTACATATAAAAATAGTTTATGTCACGGGTTATCTCTTATTCCACAGTGATGTATGTGATTGTATTGACTGAGTCATGATTGGCAGAGTGCATGCGTATCCTGCTATTTATTACATTGTACGGTTTATGTATTGATCTATCCTATTTTGCCTTGCGAAAATCACAATTATTTATACGTAAAGGCATGGAAACCGGCTGATATTGTGAAAGTCGGTGATGAACATGTTCAGCGCTGTGACAAAAATTCAGATAATATTAGTTCGGGAATTTATGGGTATTTAAAACCTTATAATGTTTCTTCACGTGATGTGATGCTAGTTTATGTACGTCATATGCGGGATGACAATCCCATATTGAACCAGTATTAATGTGTTGTCATTTAAATATGTCCTTTACTAGTACATTCCATATTGATTATCACATTCTAATTGTCAATTCGAAGTGCATTTTTAATAAGACCATCAGTATTAAATCTCTAGTGTAATTTACTACTCAAAAGAAGTTAAAGAACACCCGATTCTTTCATATTACTAAATTCAATGTATCGTGGTTTGGCAGATTAACTATCGTTATATGAAAGAATCGGGTGTTCTTTAACTTCTTTTGAGTAGTATATTATCAGGTTATCGAATGTCATTGGTTAAGCAGTCGAAATAAAGTGTGCCTTATTTTGTCTCCTGAGTTCACATTTACGTAAATATATGAATCATGTAAACGTTGACCCATATAGCATTGTGTACAATGAACCTTCATATACAGTAAGTGTTATTAGGCAGATGTCCCGAAGGCCTTACACGATGACGTTCCTATGTCAGCTAATTATGTTTGGCAGTTTATTTCTTAATAGTAAACGCAACGAACTAAGTGATCGACCAGTTAATATTCTCGGGGGATACTTAAGTCCAGAAATGCTGGAATTAGCCTCTGGTTTTACACACACAAACAAACACACACACACACACACTCTCTCTCTCTCTCTCTCACACACACACACACACACACTCACACACACACTAATTGTTCATTGACTCCTCTGAAAACAAGCGTGTTGTAGGTAAAAGAAACATTGGTTGGAAGCTCCTTTCAAAGTAAAATATAGTCATTTTGAAGTAGAATATTCCCAAGAATATGGTCGATCCTTATAAGAGATTGCTAGAAAGTTCTCTTTAAACTTATAAGCTACCCATCCTGAATCAATGCTACTCAGACACTGGTCGATATATGGCCGTAATAATGTCGATGCGACGTCACATCTACTCACTTAGACACTGTATCTGTTAAATAGGGGTACACAACTTTATTTTTAAATGAAAGTCTTAATGTTACTGATAGGACTACTACACATTAAGGTATGGTATTTGGAAAAGTCGTAAACC